TTAAGATTGAAGAAGCAGGGTTGCTTGCGGGTTGACTGAGGAGATGACACGCCTATGGCGAATCGCCATCTCCACGGCCCTGACGGCCTTTTGCTTAGGCTCGGCTCAAGGGCTCACTGACTCGGCTTCCCATCAGCTCTCCAGTCTGAGTTTCGGAGCCTCCCTGACGCGTAAACCCCCTAGCCTTTCGAAATGAAACGTGGTACTTAGAGGAAGTTAGTAAGTAGGTTGTAATTGGGGAAAACTATATTTAGGGTACTTGTAACTCTACTTAAGACCTCCCCTGGGCCGCTAAGTAAGGGGGGGGAAGAGTGAGGGATATGGGCTTTCCTCGACCTTAAGAATGGTAGGGATCTATGACTGGCTACATGGCATGGGGGCCGTTCTGAACTGTACGAGGGTTGCGGTGGTGGCACCCATCAGAGATCTTTCAGATTTGGGACTCTACGGACCAGCCGCATATCTTGCTAATGTAGGGGCCTTATTAATAGTTAGAATAGGGTTTTGGGGGTTCCTTTTCATAATTAGTATAATATACCCCCCAAACCCTATTCTAATTATTAAGGCACCTATATTATAAGGTTTCCGCACATCCTTTCTTACTTCATCTAACGCGTCGCGGGAATCTCCACTTTTATCAAAGTCGTCAAGTCCCGAACCTCTAACCCTCAACCTTAAACCCCTAAGCCCTAAACCCTAGACCCTTGAAGGATTAGTTCTCCTCTGCTAAACCGACTCGAGCCAACGACCCACAAGGAGCGGCTTGCGACCCCAATGCTAAACCACAAACTCTGAATCCTTGTATAGGGGCCTAAATAATTACCTATACTATTTTGAGGGCTCAGAACACAGGCACCAGCGCCTGATTGCTGTAGCCCCAGAAGCTTAGTCTTCGACGGAGCCATTAAGCATCCCGCCTCTCCGCCGTGGCATAGGAGAGAGCGACAGCGGCGAGCTCGGTCTAGAGTCTAGGGCTCTGCTCCGCTCAGGCGTCCGACTTTCGGAACGTCAAGTGATCCGTCTTCGGGCGCATGCTTCTGTGTGCTCACGACTCGACGCAGACTACCACATGGGTAAGCGAGGTGGAAAATGGAACAATGGAGGCTACGGTGGCTACTCACAATCCTCGCAGCGGGGGGTGGCAGGTATGGCATGGGGCTCGCAGCCCCAGGAACAAGGAGCATGCGGCCACCCGGGGGGATGCACCGTCATTTCCCTTGTACGATGTGGACTGGTCGCAGCCAGATATCGTTCCGGTCGAGGAGGTGAGAGCCAAGGACAAGCCGGAAGAGAAGATGACCTTTGTTGGTGCAGTGCAGCGTGCAGTCAATGGTGCTCGCAAACACGATGTGAGGGTGGAAAAGTTGGCAGCCGACCTACAGGAGAAGGAGCGACGATGGAAGGCCTATGTCTTGAAGATGCAGAAGTCGTATGTGGAAGAGCACAAAAGACACACGACAGACTTGGCCAGGCTGAACAAAGACATCATGGAAGCACAAGAAGCCCAGCAAGCAGCGCATCAACAAATCCGAGCTGTGATTGCCGAAACAATGAGAGAAGGGCGAATGGACCTTCAGACCAGGGCCGCCTTGGACGACTGGGAAGCAGTCATTGTTGCTGCCTCCGGTGGTGCCATGGACGTGGATGGCCAAGAAGATGCAGATCTACAATATGCACGTCGCATCATGGCTCAGCGCGGCCAGCCACCAGCACCTCTTCCGCACTTCGGCAGCGAGGGTGCTGTGCCGGCAGATGTCCCTGCCCCTACCACTCCGCCGCGTCGACCGACAGGAGCTCTGCCGCATACTCCCCCTACATTGAAGCAGTCGCAAACCTATGCTCCTATCACTGGCAAGCCTGCCCGGCCGGAGCCCTACAATGTATCTCCAGGAACTGCAGCAATGGGCACCGGCGCTCATTTGCCACATGTGGATGCTCCAGGCCCCCCGGGTGTTCCTACACAAGCTACTGCTCCGCCTGCGACCGCACTTCCAGAGACGAATGCCAAGCACACTGCAGATGTCGATACGGGAGCATTTGCGGAATCAACGGATGTCCAGGCCAGGCGCCTGGCATAGCAGCCAAGCTCGAGCAGCGACGTGCGCTTCGGCCCTTCGGGGGTGCGTTCCCTCCGAGCAACGAACACATGCTCAGGTGAGGCACTCATACAGGACATGATGCAGGGTACATGGTTCAGGCTTGATGCCTACGACCTCCTCACATGGACGAGGCGCGGCACGCGCCCAGGAGATCCCGCCGCAGACATACTTTTTGCACTGGCCTTTAGTGTGTTTCTACGGCAGCTTGGTGATTCCCTACGTGCCGCCGGCCTTCAGCCCGACCTTGGGACTATCACAGACAGCCACCCCTGGGCTACCGCCACAGCTGAAGGTGACGAACCACAAAGGGCCGGCACGGACCTTACCTTAGGCGCCCCAGCACGGGCGGACGATTTCTTTCTGCCACAGCTGGGCATAGATGGTCCCGCACTCCTTCAACGTGTCGGAACCACAATCGAGCACACGCTTGCCCTCTCCAGCGCTGTGGGCATGCGGCTCACATTTGCTGCCGAGAAAACAGCAGTCCTTTTACCCAGTGGTCATGATTGGCAGTCCTTGTCGCCTCAAGTCAGCTCCGCCCCGGACGGCCTATGGTCCATACCAGCGCCGCGCAAATCCTCCCCACAGCATTGAGCCGACGCAATTGGGACAAGGCCTACATGCGTGTTATGCGTGCGCTCCTACCACGCAAAGAGCCAGATTCACACCAGCATTCGTACACCATTCTGCTCGCCGCCAAGGCCCCTCCGCCTCCTCTTGCTTTGGCCAAAGCACGGGCCGCCTTCCTGGCGCAGCTGACCGCACACGGACCAGCCACGCTTCGGCACCTTTTGCTGGCTCATTGGCGCCGTCACCCTTCCAGCTCCTGGCTCGCACAGCTTGAAGAAGACATAGACATTGTCCGCCTCTACAACCCCAGTGCGCTTCAGGCCATTTCGGGCTCACGATCCTTGGATAGGCTGAAAGAAGTCTGCTCGTGGGAAGGTGGGCTTCATACCGTGGAGTCACCCAGGCCTCCACATTTTACGGGCCATTGACGCCAACTGCTGCAGAGCGTGCTATGGGACGGCCTACAGGCCCACAGTAGACTGCCAGGCTTGGATCCAAGCCCACATCCAGGCACGTTCAACTGAAGGGCCACGTAGCTCCTCTCGTAGCTTTTGGCACACCCCGCCGTGCATGTGCTTCACCGCGAAGTAAACATTTTTGGGACGCGCCGTATTCGACGGCCCGACAGTCCAACAGAAGAAGAAGAAGTATACTATTTTGGGTATCTTTATAGTTTAATATACCCCAAAACCTTTTTCTAATTATTAAGGCTCTTACATGAAACCCTCAACCCAACGTGACCTCGTGCCCTGCGCGCCGGAGGTGTTGCGGTGGCCGCTGACCAAATCAGCACGGTCCTCGCCTACAACGGTTCGGCAACCCCGACCCAGACTTGACGGTTCAGGGTCAGAAGTTTCTAGGGTTTAGGCAGAAGCTTCCGGGCGAGCCAGACCCATGAACATGACTCTCCTGGGTGCGGCAAAGGGCAGCATGTCTCTGGGGCATTACCGATGGCCATCAAGCCACATTCCTTCTCCTGCATTCTGAGCTTGATTGCCATGTTCCCTCATGTTATGGAGATCGAACCCTACTGGCGGGCGTGCGGTCATGCGGCTTCAGAACCCCAATGCGCATGCCGAGAGGTACGTAGAGACCTAGAGAATTTCAGGTCAATCGGCAAAGGTAGGTGGGCAGTTTTCTAAATAGTAAGGGTCCCTTGTAGGTCCTTTTTAGTAAAAAGGTGCCGTACTATTTGGGGGACTTAAAATGGGTCCCCAGTTGAGAGAAGTACCCATGTGTTGTCCCGCAGCGGTTTCCACCCGATCCCGTAGACGTCACCCCGAAACCCGAAACAACCTAAACCCTAAATCCTAAACCCTACACCCTAAACCCTAAATCCTAAACCCCGCACCCTAATTCCTAAACCCAAAATTCTGAAGCCTTCGGCCGTGGGTGCTGGAACCCCACCCAAAACCCCGAAGGGCCCAACACCCCTAAACCCTAAACCCCTTAGAGGCCTAAGCCCTCGATCCTTCCACCGTCAAGCTTAAACGGTTTAGGTTTTAGGGTTTAGGGTTTAGGGTTTAGGGTTTAGGGTTTAGGGTTTAACCCTCCTGGCACCTACCATATAGGGCCCTAGAGTCCTAGAGGCTCTAGTGCCCTATATAGTAGGTACCTGGCGGGTTAGGGTAGAGGGCTTTCTGAAATGGTGACTAACAATACAAGTTCTGCTATAGTATCCCGATTCTCCTACAGTGTCCCGATTTCTGGACCTGGAGGCATGACTAAGAGTACTGGCATTCCTATAGTATCCCTATATTTCTTAAAGCATTCTTGCACGAAACACCCGAAACCCTGCGTAAACCCAGTTGCAGCACCGAATCAAGCCCCAACAGCAGGTCCCTCCCGTCCACTGCAGATCCGTTTCAGAGAACCCTTATCCGAGACGTAAAGAGCGCCACTCACCAATACAGGGGCCTTAAAGCTTGGAATAGGGTTTTGTGGCCCATCCTGCTGGAAAGATAATAAGGAAACCCCCCAAAATAGTATAGGTAGTAGTTATTTAGGCTTAGAGGCCCAGGGGAGGTAGTAAGTTGGCTATAAGTACGGTTATAATTGGGGTAGCTTTGTTTGGGGTACTTATGACGCTACTGACGCTACTTATAACCCACTTACCAGGTCCACTGGACCTCGAAGTCTTCCTTAAGGGGTTCCTATAAAGTACCCTTTAGTAGTTCGGCTCCCAAATTAGGGGATCTACTTAGAAATTTTTCCGGGGGTCTGGGACAGACCCTAAACCCTAAACCCTAAACCCTAAACCCTACACCCCGCAGCCCGGAGCCGTCCGTCGCCGTCAGCAACTCAAGACCACTCGGGGAACTCGTCTGAACCATGGCTTTCACTCAACCGCGCGCCTTGGACTTTCGTTTAGGGTTTAGGGTTTAGGGTTTAGGGTGCGGGGACCTCGACAGAACTTTATAGAACCTTTATAGAATCTCTTCAGTCACTTTACAAAACCCCCCCTCTAGAGGTTATAGGTTTAGGTTTAGAGTTTTGCCTTGGTCTGTACCTGGATCCTGAGGGAACGTAGCAGGGCGGTAGTGATCTAGGTTCTTATGTCGTCCGTTGAGGTTTCTGTGGTGAGTCTATGTGGGATTATATGGTACTCTACTTGGGTTTACGCTCACACAGGGGTTTAGACTGTAGAGCCAGAGCACGTATTAGTGCTTGTAAGAAAAATCCGACAGCGAAGGTCTACCACCTTTGCCAAGGGTGTTCTTCACCCTCGATGACAAGTCGCCTCAATCCCAATCCCAGAGGCAAGAGGGGGGTACACCACGCAAGCAGCCAGACTTGGGGCGTATTGTTTAGGGTTCAGGGGTTTAGGGTTTAGGGGCTTACATGCTTTGGGGTTAGGGGCTTAGGGAAGCCTCTCGACAGAAATCCTTGAGCAGGCACCCTGAATCCGAAAATCCCAAATTCCTAAACCCCTAAACCCCTAAACCCTAAACCCCCCAACCCCTGAACACTAAACCCTGAACCCAAACCCCTCCCTATCTTCTTCGAAGATTTTCATAGCGACTCTCGAGCTGACCATGATTTCCAGGACCCTCCGCCGCTCCAGCAGCTTCTCCGGATACACTCCCTTCGAGCGCTTTGCCTGAAACAGAAAGGGTTGCGTAGTAGTAGTAGTAGTAGTAGTAGTAGTAGTAGTAGTAGTAGTAGTGGTAGGAGGAGTAGCAGTAGCAGTAGCAGTAGCAGCAGTAGTAGCAGTAGTAGTAGTAGTAGTAGTAGTAGTAGTAGTAGTAGGCGTAGTAGCAGTGGTTTGGTCGTCGTCGTAGTAGTACTTGTTGTTGTGGCTGGAGTTTTAATGGCTCTGAAGACGAACGGTAGCAATGAAAGCCGTCATACTGGACAAACAACTGTCTTGCTAAGAATATAAGAACATGTAGCATGTCGGTGTCAGATGATCGTGGCCTGAGCAGCCGCATTTCTAAAGCCTGCACCCCGAAGGAATGACCAAGAACATGAATCCCTCAAGCCAAACGAGAATCGCATGCTGGTTGAAAGGCAGATGTGGGTGTATATAGGAAGCAAGATTACACACATACACACACATCGCGCACGCATCATGTGTGCGCAACAGGCAGACGTGCACTGACACGCAGACACGCACACACATGCGCTCATCAGTCACACGCAGACGTACACACAGGCATACACACAAACAATTAAGCACGCAAACACAAGAACATAAGCAAAATAAGCAACAAAAAAACGAACAAACAAACGAACAAACAAACAAGCAACCAAAAAACAAACAATCAAATGTACATGCATGCATTCATACTCACGTATACGTACATACGTGCATACGCACATGCGTATGTACATGCATGCATACGCCCATACATACATCCCTACGTGCGTGCATGCATTCGGGCATGCGCACGTGCGTTCGTGCATATGTACACAAATGCAGACAGTCTGCAGATACATACTTACCTGCTTACATTTGTCCATGTATATTTCAATCTGTAAAATGCATAGATACATCCAGCTTCATGCAGTGACCTGAATCTGTTTCGACAATAGCGGCTCCGGAAAAGCAAGCTGCCACGACTTCAGTTTCAACTCTGATGAGGCTCCGGCTAGGTCCGCTGGCACCCTTCATAGTCTTTCCAACCGTCGTGGATACGATTGAAGCGAGCTCTGCCAAGGCACAATGAAATTCCGTGCAGGTTTGTGCAAGCATGTAGACGTATATATGTGTGTAGACTGGTAGATAGAGAGAGAGATTGATCGATCGACCGATAGATAGATAGATAGATGCATAGACAAGATAAGCATAATATAAGAAAAGATAAGATAAGATAAGAGAGGTAGATAGATAATATAGATAGATATGTAGATAGATAGGTAGATAGATAGGTAGGTAGATCGATTGATAGATAGATAGGTAAATAGATAGATAGATGGATAGATAGACAGAGAGAGAGAGCGAGAGAGAGAGAGAGAGAGAGAGACAGAGAGGGAGAGACAGAAAGAGCGAGAGAAAGGAGGACAGATAGATAGTTAGATGGGTAGGTACATGGGTAGGTCGCCAAGGAATGCAAGCAGCGCTACGTGGAACGAAGTGGCACAGCATCATGCGGTATTCAGTATGCTACACCTGGATATCGTGTCGCAGATTCAAACCACAGCCTAAAAGGAAAGCCCTACGACAGAAGCCGCCGCCGAGGCTCAGCGATGCCAACTTCGAACTCGACTTGTGCTGCGCTCGGTGTGGTACACCTAGGATAATCGTAGCGAGAGCAGCAACGTCTAGCGGGTTCAGAGTAACAGCAGTGGCAGTAGTAGTAGTCGTCGTCGTCGTTGTCGTGGTGGTGGTGGTGGTGGTTGTTGTTGTTGGTGATGGTGATGTTGCTGCTGCTGGTGCAGTTTCTGTTGCTGTTGCAGCAACAACAGCCATACTGAAGTCAAGACGCAGTAGAGTTGACACAATGACAATGACCAGTGCGCAGTGATATCGGATAGACGTCACCGAAGGCCATACTGGTGGTCATGTGCTAGTACGCGTATCGCTAGGGGTGTTCTTCACAGCCCATCGAGTAGTGGAATGGGCTGGAATAGAGCTCTTCGCTGAACGCATCACCATGTCGTGTCTATCGCGTCATGCAAGTGGCAGTCAGCTCTAAATCTTGCACATCCGACTGGTGGTGAAACCTCGAAGCTCTAAGCCTACCTGGGGCTTGCGAAGCTCCGGGGGCTCAGGAACTGAGGGTCGAAGCCTAAGGTTCGAACCAGTCAGGCTCGAATCGAAATAGAGGCTTTTGGGTTTAGGGCTCAGGGTTCAGGGGTTTGGAGCATGAATCGAAGCCAGGCGTTCGTGCTGATGAGATGAAGATTACCCCGCAATGCCGTCACGGTTGGTTCATCATGGCAAATGAGATTGCTATGGCTCGTCTCACCTGTATGATTGCTGCCACTGCTTCTAGTCCTCCTACGCCTCCTTCTCCTCCTACTACTACTGCTACTGCAACTACTACCACCTGTTGAAGCAGTGTAAGGTTTTCGCTCGCTGCATCCCTTCCGTTACAAGAAACTTTCCTGCAAAGCACCGACGTGGCTTCCTAGTGCAAGCCCTCAGCACTACTGTTGATGATATAAATCAAGCATTACCATAAGGACCCTAAACTGTAAGAATTATGGTATATTCCTCATTATGGGTAATGCAGGATTTATATCATCAACCGTAGCAACACCGAAGCAACATCCCGATGGGCACAAAAATAAGTAAGAAGCTTCGTAATAAGAATTTCATCTAGAATCGCTTGCGGGGCAGTGGCCCCTAGCCCCCAACACAAACAACACCACAACTCAACAGCGGGCTTGTAGACTATAACTTTAAGCAGCAGAGCAGCAGCACCAAAAACCAGCAAACCCTAAACCCTAAACCCTAAGCCGTTAACAGCACCGTTTTGAGGAGCCCTTGTGGAGACCGTGGCTGCGAAGTGGCTGAGACGGCCATTGCGGACAAGTGTGGGCCAGGACCAGAGGGTCCGAGCTCCGGATGGGAATGTTTTTGGGTTAATCTTCGGAGTGGGGCCTAAATAATTTCCGAAATTATGTTTGGATTCCTTATTCTAATTCTAGTATAATATGCCCCAAAACCCTGTTCTAATTATTAAGGCCCCTATATTAGGGTACAGCGTTAGCGGATTTCGCTTGAGGGGTCTATAGGTTTAGGGATGAGGTTTTAGGGGTGGAGGTTTCGGGATTAGGGTTTGGGAACCCTAAACCCTAAACCCTAAACCCTAAACCCTAAACCCTGGATTAAGGTTCCAGATACGAACGAGCTTTCAAGGGGTCCTCCGACCGAAAGCCCTAAGTCCCCAAACCCTAAACCCTTAAAGGTTTAGGGTTTAGGGTTTAGGGTTTAGGGTTTAGGGTTTAGGGTTTAGGGTTCAGGGTTTAGGGTTCTGGGTTCAGGGTTTACGGTTCAGGGTTTGGGTTCAGGGTTTATGTCTTAGGGCCGCCCCCCACTAACTGTTAAACAAAGGTTCCTTATACATCACACAGGCAGAAATGAGCACCAGGATTTGAAGGCCCAGTGGAGTAAATCTATAGCAAGCTTCAGCACCAGAAGAAGCACAAGCATGAGCACAAAGTTCGGCACCAGAAAAAGCACAATCATGAGCACAAAGTTTAGCACCAGAAAAAGCACAATCATGAGCACTTAAATTCATAATCATGAGCACCAAATTTAGCACCAGAACATTGCGGGTTTGCTGGTGCTTTTTGTTGTGCTTCTGATTGTGGCGACTGTTACTAGGGCGGGTGACATTTGAAGTTAAGGCAGGGTTTTTAGGGCTTGGGGTGTTCCCCCTAGGCCCTAAACCCTAAACCCTAAACTTTAAACCCTAAATCCTAAACTCTAAACCCGAAGCCCAAAGCCCTAAACCCCAAGCCCTAAGCCCTAAGCCCCTGCAAAGGAGAGCCGCCGGTCCTTTGGCCCGACACCGAGGACGAGGAACCAATGGGCTGGTCTGAGGAGCCATGCCACGGGGAGACGATTACGGGTTACTATATTTGCTGCAAGGGGTTGGGGTTTAGGGTTCAGGGTTGAGGGTTGAGGGTTGAGGGTTTAGGGTTTAGGGTTTAGGGTTTAGGGTTTAGGGTTTAGGGTTAGGGGTTATGGTTACTATATAGGGGTTTAATGTAGGGGCCTTAATAATTACCTATGCTATTTTGGGGGCTCCTTCTTATAACTATGTTATATATTACCCCGTAACCCTATTCTAATTCTTAAGGCCCCTACATTACTATAAGGGGTTAGGGTTTGTGGTTGCTATAAGGGTTTAGGGGTTTTAGGGTTTAGAGATAGAGGGTTACTATAGGGGTTTTGAACTTTAGCGTTCAGGGTTCCTTTCAGGGCTCTATTAATCAGAGGGGTTCATAGCAGGGTTCCTTGTCTGTCAAGGGTGACATCGAAGCTTACTGGAACCGGGTTCCTACAAGGATTCTATTCAGGGCTACTATTTGGGTGCAAGGTTTGGGGTTCAGGGCCTACGGGTAAGGGTTAGGGTTTACTCTTTTGGCTTCCTCAGGGTTCAGGGCGGGTTTACGTCTAGGGTTTTGGGTGTGGGTTTGGGGGTGTAGAGGTTGGGGTTTGGGATTTGAGAGTGTGGCATGTAATGTAAGGAGTCTAGAGCTCACTGAGATTGGTCTTGTTGATCGTAGCAAGCATCTAGCGAGAAGAGCGCTGGTAGTGAGAAGAAGAAAAGGAACAGGAGTCGTGCTGCTGGTGATGATGATGTTAATGATGAACAGACACCTGACTAGGATGATGACGGTGGTATGGCGTTGGCAAACAAGCAGAGAAAGTGTTGTAAAGGAGCGAGCCTAAGATTTCGGTCCAACCCTAAACCCTAAACCCTAAACCCTAAACCCCTACTAGGGGTCCCTCCTAGAGCCCTTAGAGTCTCCCTGTAACGGAGCCTTTAAGGGATAAGCTTGACCCCGAGTCTCCAGTGCAAGTCCTAGACTTCAAAGGCGAAGGCCCCAGCTGCTTAAAGGCCAGGCCCCAACCCGAAACTACCCCTAAAACCCTACTGTAAATCCCAAGCCCTACACTCTGTAAACCCTGGGCCCTTGAAACCGTAGGTAGTACCCTAAACCCTAAACCCTAAACCCTAAAAGTAATCCGCAGGCGCCCTCTGCGTCGGGAACGCTTGGGCCAGCAACCGATGAGACGGAGAGCTGGGGAGGTGCGAAGAGTTGTTTGTTCTTGCCTAAGGGGCTGAGTAGGGTTGAGGGTTTAGGGTTTAGGGTTTACGGTTTTAGGGTTTAGGGTTTAGGGTTTAGGGTTTACCTTTAACCTTTTGGGGTTTCTATACTCCTACTAGAATTCAACAGGTTAACCTTTTTGGGGCTGGGGTACTCAGCCCCTCCGTTGCTGGTTTCGGGCTTAGGGTTTAGGTGGTGATTAGATCAGTAATATAGGGGCCTTAGTAATTTTTTAATAGGGTTCGGGGAACATAATACAAAAATGTTAACAAGGAACCCCCAAAACTCGATTCAAATTATCAAGGCCCCAACATTATTCGGGGTGTCGGGTTTGTCCCGTTTTGGGAATTTGTAATCAGTCGAAGCCCCAAATCGACGTTCCGGAGGTGTCCCGGTTATGGGCCTATGGCTCTCACCGCTGCCCTCCAAAGAGGGCCCAGTTGCGGAAGCCAGTCTCGTCTGGGCCTCGGTAGGGGCGCGCTGTTTTTTGGGTCCAAATAGCGAGGGGAGTTGGCAATGTAGAGATAAGGGTTTTTAGTGGTCTTGTAGTTGTTTAACACCTAGGGCATAGTGGCGTCCGTTCCGTATGGTTCAAATTTTGACTTCTTCAAATCCCTCATGAAACCCTTAACCCTAAACACATGGTTCTTGTTCATGCGGTTTGCAACCCATCTTGTTATCATGGCCTTCCAGCTTATAAGAGTGGCAGAAACCTCGGCTTAGGACGCACGTCTTTTCCCTAAACCGTAGACCCCCAACCTCAAAGCCCACACCCAGAACCCTAAACCTAAAACCTAGACCCTAAACCCTAAACTAGCCCCTAAACCTTAAAGCCTATAAACCTAGACCCTAAACCCTAAACTAACCCCTAAACCTTAAAGCCTATAAACCTAGACCCTAAACGTTTGGAGTCCTTATCCCTAAACCCCTAAACCCAGAAACCCTAAACCCTTAACCCTAAACCCAGAAACCCTAAACCCAAGCCTCAAACCCACATCCGAAATCATGAGCATGCACTCTGCTGCCTTCGCTGCTGGAAGACGGCAGTCCCGGAACCTCTTCTTCATGGCATTGGGGTTGGGGGATTAAGGAGTTTAAGGGCCCTAAACCCTAAACCCTAAACCCTAAACCCTAAACCCTAAACCCTAAACCCTAAACCGTGGGGGCTGCGTGGTTTAGGGGTTTAGGGTCAAGGGGAGTCCTGGGGCTTTCGTGGTTCAGGATTGAGGGTTTAGGGTTTAGGGACTTTAGGTTTTAGGGTTTAGGGTTTAGGGTTTAGGGTTTAGGGACTTTAGGGTTTAGGGTTTAGGGACTTTAGGTTTTAGGGTTTAGGGACTTTAGGTTTTAGGGTTTAGGGACTTCGGGTTTAGGGTTTAGGGTTTAGGATTCAGGGTTTAGGGTTTAGGGTTTAGGGATTTAGGGTTTAGGGTTCAGGGTTTAGGGTTTAGGGTTTAGGGATGTAGCGTTTAGGCTTTTAAATCCACGTAGAGCCGTAAAAGAAGCTGGAAGCTTCCGGGTCTTCTAGGGCTTCAGGTTAAGCTGCATACCTTAAGAACCCCAAACCTACTTTTTTTTAAATTAGGGTCCCTATAAATCTCATAGTAGGGTTTATAGTAAGAACCTACAAAAAAGTGGGTTTTTTGGGTTCTTAAGGTATGGACAGTTCCCTAAATTCCGGTCCCTTTTGGGGTCCTTTTGATAAGGCTGCCTTACTTTTTTGGGGGCCTCTTAACAAGAGGGCCTAGTTTAGAGAACTGCCCTTTTGAGGTTGTAGAGCTTGGGGTTTGGCTTTCAGGGCTCGAAAAAACGAAAGCTACCCATTCGAATTATTAAGGCCCCTAAACCCTGAACCCTTATAGCAGCCCTTACAGAGCCCCTTGAGAAACCCTTTAATGGAATCCCAAAGCCCTATTCTAATTCTACCCAACCCTAAACCCTAAACCCCAAACCCTAAACCCTAAATCCCCAAACCCTACTCTAATTCTACCCATATCCTGAAGCTGTTCCGTGAGCTTCACTGAGAAGACCACTGCAGGATGAGACACCGAGCGAAGATCACGATCTCTCCGGCAAGGTGAAGGCGGCTTGCAGGGTCGCTGAAGTTTAGAGGGTTTGGGGTTTGGGTGTTTAGGGTTTAGGGTTTGGGGTTTAGGGTTTAGGGTTTAGGGCTTGGGTCTTAGATTGAGGGTTACAGGTGATTCTTCGCGGCGGTTTCTTCTGGCCAATGGCATTCTCTTTGTGGAGCTGGATGAGTGCTGTAAGCCCTCTAGCCCGGTGTGCCCGGCCGTTCAGCCGCAGCGACGGAAGAATTTCCTCTCGGTAGTATCGAGACTATTCCTAGTCCAAATCACCACTGTTATACCTTTTGTCGTCAAATTTTGTCACAGCTATTGTCATGATTCCCTGAACCCTAAACCCTAAGTCCATCAAGTCTTCTTCTTTGTGTTGATGCTAAAAGGGGGGGAAGTAGTGGAAACCAGCTCCGAAACTTCGGAAAGTCTCGCGATCCGAGTTCCTGCAGTTTTTTTTCTAGAGCTTGTGTATAGTAACCTTACAGTAACTTCGGGTTTAGGGTTTAGGTCCTAAGAACCCTAGGAGAATTCCTTTGAAACCCTCACCGAAGCCTTGTGGAACCCTCCTTTTTTGCTTCGGAGCTTCAGAATCTTTGTTCCGTAACGATGGAGGTTTAGGGTTGAAGGTTTAGCGTTTAGAGTTTTAGGGTTTAGGCTTTAGGG